CAATTCCTTTCCCTCTCCTCTCCCCTCTCTAGTATTTTCACCTATTCCAAGTGCCCATCAACCCAAGAGTGGATTAATAAACTGTGGTATGTGTATTCCATGGAATACTATGCAGCCATAGAAAGATGGAGTTGCAGTACATTCTTCTTAGTAAAGTATCACTAGAATGGAAAAGCAAGTATCCAATGTACTCAATACTAATATGGAACCAATAGAAAAACAGCTCCATGCCCATGCAAGAGAAAAATACATGTAAAATCAAATGGGGGAACGGAGAGAAGTGGGGGGAACTGGCAAGCTCTCATCTAATATGCACAATGTGAGGGTTTATAGGAGGGCCCCTGGGTGAAGGGCTCAACTACAACTTGAACTTTACCTGAGAAATACAAACAATAAAACCTAATCATTTGTACCCTCATATTAACCTGCAGTTAAAAGAAAATAATAATAACGATGACTGCATTTTTAAAATGTATTGAAATAGAAAAAAGTAGTTCAAGCATCTCCCTTGGTAAAGAGGAGACGTGTAAAGGGCTGAAATTGCTGGAACAATGACATTCCTCCTTTGGGTTTAAGTTGGAAAACTCCGTATGTGCCACCCAAGCCCTCAGCTTATTTCCACCCCACCCCTCACCCACAATTGTTGCTTCTAAATCCAGAGGTTTAGTATTGCAAAAATCAGACAGATTTTCCAGAGAGATACCTCTTGCCAGGCTCAAGAGCCTGGATGAACATCTTCCTAAAATTCCAGCAGTCCAGGAGGTGCAGCCTTCTTGGGCCTCTGCCTCTTTTACCTAATCCCCCCACAAGAAGACAGGGGGCTTTGCTTCCAGAATATCCCCCCACTAACCTTGGGGAAATGCATCTCAAGCTGAGTCTCCTGGCCTTTTTTTGTCTATAGGTCATACCTCTGCCCAAGCTGCTGAGGGCACTCCTTCCCTCCATGATCCCCTAAGCCAAGAGCTTTATGATAAACATGACAATTTTTTAGCCACATCCCTGGGTCACCTGCCTGCTGTCTTTCCTTCCTGGACACCCTTCTGTCCCCATGCAAAAATAACTGATTCCAGCCACCTCAAAGCTTGTTGTGCCATGAGGGCAGCCACACCCCATCTGCCTTAGTTGCAACTAGGGCTTGTTATCTGTCATTGTGAGACAGGTGTAAGTTCTTAGCAGAATACTGATGATGATGGTGAGGATAAATAATCTTCACTGAGTGTTTATTCTGAGTGCCCCCAGTAATCACTCAGTGGATGACTCTACAATTCATAAGATTCATACATGAGTTTTAAGTGTACCTCATCTCCTCACAGGATTTCTGGGGGATAAGTACTATCATTATCTCCATTTCACAGATAATATAACTGAGTCTGAGCATGAGGAAGTAACCTGCCCAGGGCCATCTAGCCAATAAATGTCAAACCTTAGGCTCCAATTGAGAGGTTCAATGTAAGTTTTTGAGATCAGATTGATAACCCTATGAGTACCCACATACTCAATGCCCGGTAAAAAATCTTGTGGATATGATTCATTTTAGCAGACGACTAGCTTTTGCAAACCTCCCCCTTCCTGCTTTGTTTCCTTTCTGCTTTCTAACTGTCCTGCCTTCATTCATTCCACCAGCCTCATACAGCATGCCAGGCACCAGCTTGTGTTCTGGGCAGGCAAAGAAAAGCAAGACCCAGGCCAAGGCTGGCCATGCCAGACATAAAAGCAGGTTTCTGTGAGAAGCCCCAAGTCTCACCTGCTAGTGGGACAGGAGAGGGCGTGCAGTGACCCCATTCCGCGCAAGCTGCTCAGAGGCTTGGGTACAGGAATGCGCGGACCATGCTCCATCCCAGGCATGAGAGTCCAGCTTCCGGTGCCTGATGTTCTGCTGTCCTTATAGTCAGTGTGACACTGCCAGTCAACTATCCCCAAGTGGGTTCATGGTTCCCCCACGATAAAATCACTTTTTAAAGGAAGAAAGGGGTGACCCTTACAAGGGTACAAGTGAATCTTTCTAAAAGCAGAGTATGAACGTTTTAACTCAATAACTAAGAAAATGACATGAAGGTTATGTTAACCAGTTTGATGAGAGTATTTCAAAATGTATATGAAAACACCACACTGTACCCCATGATTGCATTAATGTACACAGTTATGCTCTAAGAAATAAAAAAAAATATAAAGGAAGAAAGAAGAAAACCACAGTGTGAACTTAGTAGCTGTGTGGCTGGGTGATGTTAATTTATTGGATCCTTTGGTTCTTTATTTTATAAAAGAAAAAAAAGGAAAAAAGGAAGGAAGGGAGGGAAGAGGAGAGGTAATAATACTTTCTCTGTTTACTTCATGTATGTTATAGGATCAAATAAAATTATAACCTAGGCATATGAGGGCCAAATATTATGTAAGTGTGAAGGCTTTCCTATCTTCTCAGCGTGGGACTTACGGGTCTGAGTAACGCTGCCTCTTCTGTCTTCTCCCCGACACACACTCCCTGGGTTCCGGCCATAACCACACAGCCCTGCCTTGTGTGTGCTCCAACTCACCTGCCTCCTTGCTGTCCTTGCACTCTTTCCACTGCCCGGGATACCCTCTCCCCTTCACTGCTGCTCAAGTGCCATCTCCTACATAAACAGTGCCCCTTTCCTCTTCTGTACCATTCAGTGTTGTGTTTCTCTCACAAAATCATACTCTGTCCTGGGACTAGACTAAATTGTCCTCTATATCTTAGGCTTCCTTGCCTAAGTATGCCTTATACATATCAGCTGTTCAACAAAACGTTGTTGAATCACACTCTGCTTCCCTCTCTGTGCTCTCCTCTGCCTGCCTCCTGCACTCTGTACACAGTGCCCCACCTGGCACATGGCAGGACCCTGTGCCGATGACCCAGGGAGCTTTAGGGCCAGCAAATTCAATGGACAGTCTCCGTAGGCCAAGGGGTGTTAAACTTTTCCTTTCAGTTCAGTGACGCACATCAGAGGGAAGGGTATAAAGTTGGGCAGACAAATTGGCCGTACCATGTTTGGTAGGCAGGAAGTGGACATTTCCCTAAGTGCAGAATGAAAACCAGTGGGGATAGCCAGACGATTTTCAGTGATGCACAGGTGAACTTTTTCAAACTACATCTTCTCACTTACATTTGATAAATATAATTAGCACAGAAAAGTTATGATTTCCTGAATAGTCTTTAATGATACCCTTGAATTTGAATAAAAATGTTTTAAAAACAAAATCACCTGAACTCTGGTACAAGAGATAGCTGAATGATGTGACGTGGTGCCTGGAGACCCAGAAGTGCCAGGTGGGGGCAGACTTGGCTGAGGGGCGGAGGAGGGAGTCAGGGTGAAGTGGTGCCTGTTCCATGGGTCAGATCTGCTGGCCTCGGGCCTTCACAGAATTACCTCCAAAGCTGGGTTACCCTCTGCAAACACCTTTGTTTGAAAGGCAGAAGGCAAATGGTGTGTTCTCTCATCACTGCTGTCTCTTCACTGGAATGAAGAGCATGCTGGTGTCAACACACACACTTCCAGCTTCACAGCCTCGGGCACCAGGTTGCCTAAGGGCCTTGGGGTTCTACCCCTTTTTTCAGAACTGGCAGATACAAAGGACCCAAAAGTGAGTTTGCTTTTCCTTTTTTTCCTGCAAAGCACAACACTTTACAAAAAGAAAAACACTTCAAAGGCAATCCTTTGCTCGCATATATTTCAGGCCTCCATTCAAGATCCACATTTATCTTCCTTATCCAATTACTAGATCAAAGCAGAAAGGTTTGGCCTACTTTGGGGGTTTAAAGACATCGAGGGAAAAAACTAAGAACATTTAAAACTACCTTTTCTGTGCCCCACGTCTTCCTGTAGGAGGACTGAAATCCCCTCCCCCTGCTCACTCTTAACTAGTCTCTGGGCACAGAAGTCGGGTCAGCGAGTTAATATGCTCTAATCACCAGCACCGCGAGAGATTCCGTTACATCTCTGTACAATCCATTCTAATCTCAGTCGGTGTGTCTCGTTTCCTTTTTGTTCTTGATATGGTTACAAAATCCTTTCCAAAACCCATTGTCATACTCAAATTTTTTCAAGAATTTTTAAAATGTTGTATTAAAATAAAAGGTACCCCACCCCCCAAAATCTGAAACGTTACTTCATCGGACTCCCTAAAGCTACTGGTGTCAGCACATCTGTTCATTTTAATGCCACCATATGGAGTTCAAAGTTCCTAAAATAGGACCTACCTTGTCCTTAACACTGAGATTCAAGGCCTTGGTTTAAAAAAAAAAACAAACAAAAAAAAACAAATATGATGTCCTGAAAAATATTTAAGTGAACAGGCCGCCTATTGGTGGATTGATTTTTCTCTATGGAAGTAAATCTGCTGGCACTTGCCAGAATTGGGGTATAAAAGACGACTTCAGGCAGCTGCTGCCATTTGTTTCCGAGGGAAAACGAGGGTTTTGTCTCTCCCCGGGGGTTAATACTGTGATGTTCTCAACACCATTGGTGATCTGTTTCTGAAGGGTTACACTGGGGGGGAGGAATGCTTTGTGGTTTATGACAAGATCACGGCAGAATGTTTTGTGCACGCTGTGATTTGTATACCCATTTGTGCACAGGCCGTAAAAGTGCACTTTTTATCAGGAACATTTGTGAATATATAACAGCACTGAAGACATATGTCCACTAAATAATTCACAGTTATCTGTCTTCTCAGCAGATTCCTTATACACCTACCATGTTTTAATGTCTAGTTTGCTCAGAAACAATATTCTTTACGACCCTTCCGATATAAAAATGTTTACTGACTGGCAGCAATCTACGGGGCCCGTGGGACGGAGCAGTAAGGAGGGGGAAATCTTTCCGAATCCTCTACCTCTCCCCCTCCTCATCTGTTTCCCTCCAATGCTTCCAACCAGCACCCAACCTTCAGGGGGAAAACCCCTCTTCCAAAAGTGGGTAGAAAATCCTCTAGGGCTATAAGACGAAAGCTACTAACTCACCTTTGCCCTCTTCTCTTTTCAGTTCTATCTCCATTTACAGTCCCAAGGAGAATCCAAATGCATTTGACGCTGCAGCCTTCTTCCAGTCCGTGGGGAATTTCCTGGGGATCTTTGCCGGCTCCTTTGCAATGGGGTCCGCGTATGCAGTTATCACGGCACTGATATCCTTTGTGTGTGGAAAGCTGAGGACTGTTAAGAGAAGTCAATGTTGATGGAACGTTTCTGAGGATGGGCAACCTTCAGACCAGCTAGATAGTCTGTGACTCAAGCTTCATATGGACCACTGAGGCACTTGGTTGCAAGTTATCCCTGAGACATGAGTAGGTACCGGTGGCAGAGAGGACCAGATTCTTACAATGTGCAAGCCCAGTTCTACACTATTGCCACTGTCTGATTCTAGGCTATCAACAGCCTTAAAAATGTTGCATAGGAAGTGGACAGAGGCATCAGGATTGTCCTTACTGGGTCAGGATCAAGAACAAGACAGGATTGACTGGGGGTGGAGAAAGGATGATATACTGGGTATTCCCTGATTCCTTTTTAAGCTTATTCAATTGCTAGCTCACAGGGTTGGCCACGTCAGAGACCTCTGTGGATTTAAACACGTATTCCCAGCTACTTTGTAGAAGGGAGCCTGCAAGCAATGCAGAAATGACATGTTTGCCATATCTGGGCAATTGTGTCATTTGATTCTTATTTTGCATGAGGAAGTTTAGTTCTGAGAAGATCTGAGCCAGGGAAAGAACCTGGTCTGGTGGGCTGTTCACTTAGAACAACCAGATGGGAGCCAAGTCAGTCAGAGTTGAGAAGGAAAGTCAGAGAGCCAGGGTCAAGTGTGAGGGCTCAGTGGATCTGCAGAGGAGAGGAAGAGTGAAGGATCCAGGGCCAAAGACCTCAGGGAAATGAGGAGGAAGGAGAGGGCCAGGGGAGGCAGGGCCCAGGCAAAGAAAGGCATTCACTGGGCAGCAGCTGACTGGTTCTTGATTCTACCAAGGGTGTCAAAGAAGAGCGAGGATGTGAGTAAAAAAAGGCCCCTGCTTAGTGAGTGACAAGCTTGGAAAGGTGGCTCTATATTACAAGTTGGACAGAAAGAGTGCCAAAGCCACATCCAGGTTATCACACTATAAGAATTCAAACGGGGACAAGGCAATTGTGTCTGGAATAGTCCAACAGACTCTTAGCCAACCTTATAATTCTGGAAAGTCATTTGAAAAGCAGTATTTTCATGCAGAGTGGGCTTTGAGCTTGGCCTGGAAGATAGGTAGGACACAGGCACAGGCTGTGTGGCATGTGGTTCAAGAAGGGAAGGCCAGCGGTCACGAGGGACTTCGTGGAGGTGGGACTGACCCAACACCTGGCAGAGGTGCCTGAGAGGACCAGAAGGCCCTGGCTGCTGAGGAATGGGGGATGCGGAGACACGGGTGGGAGGGAATTAGCATGTGGGCTATCTCCAGGCTGCCGAGGGTTGCTGCTGCAGACAGGGACACACTGACAGTCCTGTTTGCAAAATGTTGATGAAGAACTGGCACACGGGAAGAATCTGCGGGGGGGGGGGGACTAGAATCAAAGGAAACCATGATGATGAGTGCAGAGGAGGCTGCAGGGAGGAGTCTGGTGTTAGGAGCAACGATCTCTAGGAGTTAATGATCAGTTGGTTATTAGAGAGACAGGTGAGGAAACAGTCAAAGGCCACTTGGAAGTTTTATCCTGGAACTCTCATAGGAGGGCACTTCCATGGACAGAAACCAGGTAAGGCAGAAGAGGTAGGGATAGTTCCAACAACAATAAAATCATCTACCCAATACTGATGGGATGCCAGGCCTCCAAGACTTGTCTTACATGGCAATACCACACATGCCTAGCCCACACAATGATTCCATCGCCACATACTACGTTTATTGGACACTGCCTTATAGAAAGTATAAACTATTGCCTAAGGTCAAGCAGCCAGTAAGTAAATCTGGAAGAATCAAGAGGCAAACCATGCTCATAACCACTACTCTCCATTGCCTATGACTTTTTTTTTTTTTTTTTTTTTGAGATGGAGTCTCACTATGTCACCTTTGGTAGAGTATCCTGGTATCACAGCTCACAGCACCCTCAAACTCTTAAGCTTAAGTAGTTGTCTTGCCTCACCCTCCCAAGTAGCTGGGACCATAGGCACCCACCACAATGCCCAGCTATTTTTTGTTATTGTTGTCATTGTTGTTTAGAAGGTCCTAGCTGGGTTTGAACCCCCCAGCCCTGATGCATGTGGCCAGAGCCTTAACCACTGAGCTATGGGCGCCAAGCCTGCCTCTTAATTTGTAAGTGGAATTGTAACAGAGGTCATGTGTTGTTTAGACTAGAGTAATAATAATGATTGGAGTATTTAGCAAGTGTCTGGCATATTCTAAGGCCTTTATATGCATCTCCTCATTTGAATAAGCCTATAAAACAGGTTATTATTATTATCACTTTGCACACGAGGAAACCAAGGCTCAGGGAGGTTATGTAGCTCACCCTGGGTCATATATCAGTAACAATGAACATGATCATATCTCTTGACGTATATTGAAAACTTTACTATGTGCCAGACATTTTGCATGGTTTATCTCAGACAACTTTGACAAGAACCCTGGGCGATAGATGCTATTATTATACCAATTTTACAGCTGAAGAAACTCAGGCAATCAAGGTTAAATAACTCAGCTAAAGCCATACAAGTAAGATATCTCAGGGTCAGGATTCAAACCCAGGCTTTCAGCTCCAGAGTCTGCACTAGGTAGAGATGCTGAAATCAGAATTTTTCTCTGCCTGGTACAAAGAGAAGGTTTAGTTACATGGGCAAACAGGTTAATAAGAGAAGGGGGAAAAATTCCTGGAGATTTGAATTCTGGCATGAGATTGGATCAGATCTGGAAGAAAGGTTGTGGGGACAGAAGAAATAAATGGAGGCTCAGTAACAGTGCCACCATCAAACAGGCAGCCTCTCACAGGCTGTGCAGACATAGGCCGTGGAGGAGACAGGCACATTCTGTGTCTCCTCTGCCTTACTAACCTCAATACCGCAGCTGTTCTGAGGTGGAGTCTCCCCTGATTGTAGGTCACTGTACTCTGGACTTGAAGCTTGACCCAGAACTGAACTACTTTTTGGAGGAGATTGAAAAAAAGGAATGCTCTTTAGCTAGCCAATATTCTGCTATTCAAACTGGCCTCAATATTCTCTTTAAAACAAACTAGAAGAGAGAATCCTGAAGAACAGACCCCAGTGAAACAAAGCCTTCCCTTCAGGTAACAAAAGGGAATATTGTAAAAGGCTCTCTGGGCAACCCATTTTTTATTCCAGATAGAATTTCTTCCAGATGCTAACAATACTATTTCTAAACGGAAGATGTTTTATGTAAAAAAACTTAATTCATCTCAGCACGGTAGCATGAACCTGTAGTCCCAATACTCTGGAGGCTGAGGCAGGAGGATCATTTGAGCCCAGGAGTTGGAGGCCAGCCTGAGCAACATGGTAACACCTCATCTCTAAAAAATTTAATTAATTTAAATGACAGCAGTATGCACACAGAAATGTTATATGTAACATTTGTTACATGCCAGGCATGATTCTAAGTATTTAACCTATATGCCACTGAGGAAAGTGGTATTTTTATTCCCATTTTCAGAGAAGAAAACCAAGTCACAGAGTGGTGAACAGATGGGTCCAAGTGAATGCTATGAACTTGAACCCAGGTGGAGTCAGCTTCCAGAGGCCACACCTCCAACCACGGTGTGATTCTGCCTTGGTCCTTTCTAAGACTTCACAAAGCATTTCTAATGTACTTTGCCCCATTTCACTCTCCATACTGTGGGTGCAAGTCTTCTTATCAAGTCATATAGGATACAAATGAGGCTCAGAAGGGCCAAGATATTAATCAGAAATCACACAGCCAATTACTGACAGAGTCGAGAAACAGAACAGACCCCAGAGATTATGTTTTTACTTCCCTGCCCCACTGCCAAACCTCTCTTAATGTGGAATCTCCTTTGGATTTTGCTTTAAATGCATAAACTTGCAAAATGCGCATCTGTCCTTATTTGTCAGGGTATTTTGTGCCTATTGTGGACACAGCTGCAATGGAACTAACCCCTTCCCATGGATTACAGATTCCTAATCATCTCCTCACAATCCATTCTCTGCCAAACCTGAATCACTATCCCTTTGTTTTATTTGCGATTTATAGACTATTGACTAAGTGTCATCCTTGTCAAAATGTACTATTTCCTTCCAAAGAGCATTTGGCCTGACCTAGAAAGAATATACATTTTCCTCCATCTTAACTTACACCAAGAGGGCACAGACATCCTCCGTCCCACTGGATATAACTGCTCCCCCGATCCTGTTTGCATCCCGAGGAGAGGAGACACCACCCCACAGATTGCACTCCCCAGGGAGCAGCACCTCCCTCCTCCTTGTGCACAGAGGGACTTGCAGCATCTTATTCTCACCACACTCTCCTTGCTTTGGTTTGCCCCATGCCTGCCACACTGCAGGGGCCAAGGCCAAGTTCAAGGAGTTGGCTATTCATGTCCTTAGTGAGACACCTTTCTCTATCTGAACAAAGGTTTGAACATATACAGGCATTTAACCCCCAGTGAAGCATGGAACTCTACTGGCTTCCAAGTAAGTCCCAAAGAAAGCTACAGCCTTTATAGTCAGGTCTGAAAATCAGTTGTTTAAAACCATCCTGACCAGATCATTTTTTTTTCTCAGCCAAGAAGGAAATGCAGCTGTAAGCGTGGTTGTTGCTTCCCTTAACCTGTCTTCCTCACCTGACCAAATTTACCAAGCTGTGTGAATTCCCGATGCTGGAAACAGGCCTGTTTTTCCTCCTTTCTTGGAGCGCCTTCCTGTCTGCTGAAGCTGCCGGGTTAACAGGTCAGTGGTTCGTGTGGCACAGCCAAGTGGAAGTGTGAGCGCCTGTGGGTCTCTGGTGTGTGCCCCTCCCTGGCCTAGCAGGAGGTGAAATGGAGCCTTAAACAGTGAATGTGAATGTTTGTGTCAGAATCAGCCTCTCCTGGGTAGCCCGAGGAGAGAAAAAAATAATAATTCATCCATTTCACACAAAATAACTTAATGGAATGTCTCCAGAATGCTTTCCTCTTCTGTCCCGGCTGGACAGGAGGTGTGTTGAAAAGACGGATGCGTGGAGGTGATGGATGACTTTACAAATGGAAGTCTCCACTTGGAGTGTGAAGGGATAGAGCTGCTTCGTAGAAAATGTGGTTTTCCCTTGGCTGTAAACAGCAGGTTCCAATGTAAGCAGGCTCTCCCAGGTGTGCACAGTTCCACAGGTCAGTGTTGAGGATCTTTGTGTATTCTCCACGGCAGGTAAGAAAAAAAAATAGCGAATGGGGCTGTACAGTTTAATGTCTCTTATCACAGAAAGTCTATAGAGAGAGTCCTCTGAGCTGGAACAGTTGATAGAGAGAGGGGCAGTCCCTAAGGCCCCAAGGGCCACCAATCCTGGGATCTGGATTTAGCAATGAGATTGCCTTTTTGCAACAGCAGTATTTGGGTTTGGGTCTCTGCAAGGAATGGGTGTTTTTCCACGTAAGGGAATCACAGTGGCTCTGAGCAAAACGCCAAAGCTATTTCTCTTCCCGGGGCCTGTTCCCTGTTTCTCCCAGGGTTCAATTTTGGATGCCTTTCAGCTCATTACATCTTCACAGACATTCAAAGGGGCAGAATCTGCCCTTAAATGTTAATTAGTAACCAGGTATGTATCCTAGGGTACTTGCACTTTAATAGGTGATTCATTAAATCCGAATAATAAATGAAAATAAAATTTGACATGTATTGAGGGTATACCATGAGCCAAGAAGTGGGTAGCTGCCTTTCATGATGATCTCTTTAATTTACAGAAAAATTCAAAGTAAAAGACTATCCCCAGTTTATTCGGCTAACAGTAAGTGGTGGAGCTGGGATTTAAAACTAGGAAATTGAGTTCTAGACCCTGAGCTCTAGAGCACCAAGCTTTTCTACCTTGAATGAAACTCTGCTCAAGAAGCCGCCTGACCTACTTGCTCCTCAGCTGACCTTGGCTCCCCTGTGAATGCCATGGCCATTCTTTTCGGTAATAATAGCCTATTTCTCTAATCAGCTGACGCACCTTACTGCAAAGTGAGGTAATCCCAATACCATCCAAATCCCACAGGCCAGCAATCCCAATGAGCTTTCAGGGTAGCTCCTGCTGATACAGAAAGGCACCCTGCCAGTTCTTGTGCCCCTACAGTTCAAACTTTATTCCCAAATTCCACCCTACCAGGACCTTGTATCCAAATTATCCCAATGTAAAGTCTGTTATGTTAGTAAATTGCTGTGGTATCAAGGAGGTTTCTGAAGAGCTTATGCCTCCCACTAAAAAAAAAAAAAAAAAAAAAAAAGAATAACCATGTACCTTAAATGAAGTAACATAAGTAAATCATTTATATCATAATCATTCAAAAAGATCTGGTTCCCCATCCACTACATCCTGTGCCTTATTTAACACATCACTTGTAAAATGAGCTAAGTCCTGTTAATAATAAGAATATTTGAGCTTCCAGAAAGGTAAAGAAGTACCTGAACTCGCCTAACATTTTTTAATCTTCTGTTGAGAGTTGTAATAAACACACACACATCCCACTGTCTAAGAATTATTCATTATTATGCATGAAAATTGTCTATTTCCTGGTCCATTTCAGTAAGTCTTGTTCTCTTAACTACTTTAAGGCCATGGGAAACAGTATGAATTGCTAGTTTATCTGTACCTTGCTCTTTATTATCCTTTTCAACCAAATATCCTTACTGGGATTCTTGGAAGACCACCCTCTGAGGAGCTAGTACCATGGAATGAGTGAATATGGGTATGAATCTCAGGAGCAGAAAGACCCATGTCCCCGACTGCCCCCAGGGGCAGCCTGACTCAAGAACAGTGTTCCAGATTTGGACAATATATATGATATAAACCAAACTCTGAGCGCATTTTCTATTGCCAAAGACCAAAGCTGCTTGGTCCAAATTATTTATATGTTTGTTTGTTTATTATTTAATCCTTGCCTATTTTCAAATTGGATTTGAGACAGCTCATAACATAAGCCATGCCTATCATGGGACCATTTAGTTGAGGGTAAACACTCAAGTGGTCTGAGATAGTTTTTCTGCAAAATTAGGCAGCTGTTTATTGCCGTGGTTTGGCAATAACTGTAGCTTTGAGCTTTCTGGCAGGCAAAGCCAAAAGGGAAATGTGATGAGTTGCATAGGAATAATACAGCATTATAATAGGAAGCCATTGTTATTTGTAAAAATGGGCAAATTTTTCCTGGTACTAAAATGTTAGAGGACTTCAATCCTATGCATCCTTAGTGGAAATGCAGCCATAAGAGGGTCTAACACCAGAATGGACAAGGGATTTAATAAAAACTTTAGAGAAGATCGAGATCTATTCTTCATGTGATCATTTCTCATATCAACCCTTAATAAAATGTGAGGGTGTAGAATCATAATTCTCTAAGATCATTTGAATGTAATAAAATCCTTTGAGTTCTAATCCACACTAAACCAATATGGTAAAATCTAGAAAATTTTTTAGAAGAGTGGTTACTGAAAGAATATAAAACAGTGAATACTGTGAATAAAATGGAATCAATTATTAAATTGTTTATGGTTAACTGTAGAGGCAACCGGCAACTACAGGGCCCTGGATGGGCTCACTAGTGGCACTTCACATGGGTACTGGAGATGGCATTAACATGCAGTGATTTCTCAGCAGAGTGCCCTGAACCCTGACCTTTCAAAGTAGGCCCCCAGGACATCCCCCACGTGAGCAGGGCTCTAGCCCTATCACCCTACCTCATCCCTTTCTTGATTTTATGAATTGCACTTTCACATAAAATTTCATTTGAAAAAAGAATCTCTACTACTTTAAACAGACGACATCTATTTTTAAATATATTTTATTTTTTCTCACATCCAAGGTAATATATATTCTTTGTGAAAAATTTAGAAAACACGGATTCACAGAAGGAAATAAAATTAGAATCACTTACAGTCTTATTGACTATTAATAACAATTATCAATACTTGTGTTCATCTAATTATATGTGTACATATAATTGAATATATATACCTAAATATATGCATGCATACATATTAAATATATGTATATGTTTCTTAGTTGTAAGTAATTTGCTTTGCTCATTCAATAAAGTGAATATTTTCTATGATGTTAAATACTATATCACATGAACTTACCATAATTCTACCAATCTTTGGATTATTTACAGCCATTATTATAATGATAATCCTTATAGCTCGATATATGGATTTTTATATATTTAACTGCCTAAAAAGAAAATGTCTGGGTGAATAGGAAGGCTAAAATTTAAGTTTTTGAAGACATTTGCCTAAATTGTCTAGAAAGTTTGTATCTCTTTATGCTCCCACCAACAAGGTAAAAGAGAGTTCATTCATTCATATTTACTACCTGAAATCTGATTAATCACTGTTAAATTCATAATCAGTTTCCATTTTATTCTGGTTTACATGTATCATAATCTGGCTGAGGAAAGGAATTTTAATAACATGTCACTGGTTCTTTGTATTTCTTCTTTGGTGAATTACCAGTTTAAAACCTTGGTTTTATAATCTGTTCAGAAGCTGATCTTTGTCACGTGGTACTTTACTTCCTCTCTATTATGAACTTTTGACTGTCATACAGGCTGTACACATTTTTCAATTTGTGTTTGTACCTTTAAATGTTCTATTTTGTTAATATAAGATTAACAGGTTAGTGTAGACTTCTAAGTTTTGCATACTTAATTTTATCTCCCCCTTAGAAAGCCCAAGTGTTCTTCATGGTAATGTGGACTTCTCTCTCTTTGAAAAGTTGTGTGGTTTCGGTTTTGCATTGGAAACCAACTGCGTTTGTTTTAGTGTGTGGTTTTTTGGGGGTTGGGGGGATTACTATGAAAGTATAAGGTTACATTGTTCATGCTTGGCAGGTAAAGCCTAAGTTGCAGTTGAGTCATTTACCCAGCAAGTGTGCCGTAGACCCTCACATTGTACCTCTTAGGGGGGAAATTACCAAAGCCACTCTCCACCCTCCTCCCTTCTTGAATTTAATTGTGTTTTTCTCTGGTGTAGGCCTGTAGTTTTTGATGTGAAATGTAGAGAATAGTAGGGACTTTGATTTCCCATGTGGTAAACTGCTTGTCTTAACACCCATCATCCTTTACCTATGAGTTTAAATGTCTATGTGTGTGTATATATATTGGTCTACGTGTGTTGGGATTTTGTTGTCCCACTGAGATGGATCTTCACTGTTTCTATTATTTTACTGTCATGGTTTACTTTAATATACAGTAAATCCATCTCTCACCCCCCCTTGTCCATTTTCAAAAGCTCCTTTTCTAGACTCATGTATTTATTATTCCAGATGAATTTGAAAATTACTTTGTTAGGTTCCAAACAGATAATAATTTTGGGGTTATGATTGAGGTTATGGGACATTTTTATATTAATTTGAGGAGTGGTGGCATTTAATAGCAGTGAGATTTCCCACCCAGGAATATGTTATGTCTCTTCATATGCATGAGTCATAGTTTATGGTTTTCAGTACATTTTTATGGCTGTCTTCATATTAGACATACAAATTTCTTGATAAGTAACTTTTTAGCTATTTTATATAATTGGGTGCTATAATGAATGGGAATTTTCATGGTTTCTAATTGGCTGTTGTTTGTATCTGTGCCTCTAGATTACAGTGTTTTGATTTACTCTCGATAGTTCTGAAATACAGAAATGGAGCTGATGTGTTGAATTATGATTCATATCTATTAGTTATAAGAGACTGTGAGGTCCAACAGAGTGGCTACAATAGCCCATGCACTCAGTAA